CACTCTGGCACCCCGAGATCGCCGCCATCACCGCTGTGAATTATGCAGGCCCCGACAAGGCCTCCTCCGGAGCTTCCGGCTGGGCCGCCATTCTGGCGCGCGGCTGTTTCAGTCCGCGGGCCGGCTGAGACTGAGGGGTAGTAGGGCGGCTCGTAGATGACCTCCGGCGCCCCCGAGACATACCCCCGGGATCAGGGCTTGATCTGGGTGTGATCCACCGACCACTTGAGCGCTCCACGGTGCGTAGGAAAACAGGATAGTAGGATAGGTGGCGGAGCACAGTTACTGCACGTGTGCTCCGGTCGCCATCTTGGACACGCCCCTCTAGCAGAGTGATCTTACTGATTAGCAGAGGTGTAAACCACAGGGTTCACTTGAAAGAATTACAAATGCTTAGAGTGGCAAAATAGCAAATGTGTGTGATTTTTCACCTGCGTATTTAGCGATTTGCCTAAAGTTAAAATTTGAAGGCTTAATCCTCCTTTAGGGTCATGTCTCATGTTGCACCATATATATGGGTGCAGCATGGGACATTTTCCTAAAGGAAAAAGAATAGCAAGAGATTACAAGTCCCACCTGCCACATTGGTAGACTGACTCACAGATCTCAATGTCACTTCACTTGTAGTCCACGGATTACTTCATCCAGCTCCATAATGGTAGGCCCATACCTCCAAATGGACCTGGGTAGGGATGTAAATAATGCATCAGCCTGTATATTTTACCCACGATGCATAGATTGTGTTTGCAATGCTCTGCAGGCAGCAATGCAAGAATGTATATCATTGCATTTTTATTTCTTTTTTTTTTTAGTTTGTGTGTGCATGTATTACATTTTTGCAAAAAGGGGACTATGACTTTTATAGTAAGTGCACTTTCAGTTAATGTGACTCTAAACTCAGGAGTTAAATGCTAAAAATGCATTAAAGTACTTTAACTATTAACAAAAATGTATCTTATTTGTGTATCAGTCAGTTGTAGAGCCTCAAATCATCTGTCAATTTGTGCTGACGCTGTCCTTCCTCCTGGAGGGTGGCTACTTTTGTTCCCCATGGTCCTTGTGTGTATTGAAAAGTAGTCACCGCTCCAAGTTCACTCTTGTGATGGACTACAATCTCATGTTTAGTTTACTACTTAATACTGAGATTGTAATCCATCACAGGAGTCGCTTTGCAGCGGTGGCTACCTTACAACACACACACGCGGACCATGGGGAACAAAAGTAGGCACCCTCCGGAAGGACAGTGTCAGCACAAATTCGGAGATGATTTGAGGATCTACAGCGGAGTAAAACACAAATAAAGATACTTTTGTGTTAATAGTTTAGGTACTTCAATGAAGATTTAACTCTCAGTGAAGTGTCACTTTAATACAATTGAATAACGATACACTATAACGGCACACCAAAACCTAATTTTGAGAGGTAATATTGTACCTATAAAGCTAAATAATGGTGATTCTTACAAAGTCCCCTTCCAGACTATTTTCTTTGCCACCTCAACCCTTCTCTTCTCTACTCTGCTACTGACTACCTCTATGACAAAATGTCACCCCTGACCTGGCTACTTCTCTCTTTAACAGCTCAGTCTTATCCTCCCTAGAGACCTTGACTCCCTTCACCACATGCAGACTTAGGCCGCATCCAATACAACCATGGCAAACAGAAGAAACCAGACATCTTAAAAGACATGGCATGCGAGTGTGGCGTAAAACTAGGTCTCCACAAGACTTCACACTATATAAAGCTGCCGTACTAAAATATAATTCCTCCCTCCGTGCTGCCAAACAGACTTATTTTGTCACACTTATTAACACACTCTAATCCAAACCTCGCCAACTCTTCTACTCTTAACTCTCTGTCCTCCACCGCCTCTGCCCACTGACTCTCACTGCCCAGTACATTGCCATTCATTTCAACAACAAAATCAATTCAATCCGGGATGAAATTCCCACTGTCCAGTCCAGACCCACCATTACACTTGCTACTTTTCACCCCATCACCACAGAGGAGGTTACAAAGCTTTTCTGACACTCACCACTTTCCTCCTGGATCCAGTTCCCTCACCATTACTTCAGTCACCCTCTTGCTCTATCCTCCACCCTTACTCAGATTTTTCAATCTTTCCCTCTCTAGCATCTTTCCCTCCCCTCCTAAAACATGCACTGATCACCCCAATACCCGAAAAATTTACTGGACCCCTCCAACCTTAACAATCACAGACCAATCTCCTTACTCCCATCCCCCTCCAAACTCCTAGAACACCTAGTCTACAATTGCCTGAGCTGCCACCTCACTAATAATCTCCTCGACCCCTTACAGTCTGGCTTTCGCCCCCAACACTCCACTGAAACCTGCCTCCTAAAACTCACCAATGACCTACTAACTGCTAAAACAATGGCCACTACGCCTAACTCTTGCTACTAAATGTTTCTACTGCTTTTGACACCCACTGCTCCTCAAAAAAACTCCTTGCTTGTCCTACAAGACTCTGCTTTCTCATGGTTCTCCTCCTACCTAAGTGCTCTTCTAGTGTCTGCTACAAATCTACCTCTTCCTCTCCTCTTCCCCTTTCTGTTGGGGTCCCCCAAGGCTCTGTTCCTGGACCCCTTCTCTTCTCTATCTACATGTCCTCACTTGGTCAGTTGATAACCCCACATGGCTTCCAATACTATCTCTATGCTGATGACACTCAAATATATCTCTCCACTCCACAACTCACCCCCTCAGTCTCCTTGCGTGTCACTAATTTATTGACCTATTAGTCTGGATTTCACAACACTTCATAAAGATCAATCTTTTAAAAACGGAGCTCATGCTATTCCCTCCCCCTACATTTTGATCAGGATTGATAAAACAACTATCCATCCCTACCTCACCTTTCTGCCCCACATCCAATCACTATCCAAATCCTGCCGTCTTTACCTTTGTAACATGGCCAAAATGCGCCCCTTTCTCGCCAATGAAGCCACAAAGCTGCTCATCCACTCGTTCTCTTTCGTCTTGACTATGGTAACTCCATCCCGCCTTAGAAAGCCATCCACAACGCTGCCCCAGACTATATCTCAAACCTTGCCTCCAAAGTATCACTGTAAAGGTGCCCATACACTGTACGATTCTCGTACGAGAATCGCGGGAAATCCCGCGATCGTACGAGAATCGTACAGTGTATGGAAGGCGTGCGACCGTTTCTACTGTATGGTCGCACGTCTTCCATCGAACAAGCAGGCTGGAAAACCCGCCGGGAATCGTACGATTCTTGGCGAGTGAGTGGCCTGCTTGTTCGACAACTGAAGAACGGGCCGGTGTGCGCACACTGCCCGTTTGCCGTCCTTGCAAGCCCGCCCCTCATTGCAGTCATCGCAAGCCCGCCCCTCAAGATGGGCAGATCGTACGTTTTTTTAAGTACTTTACAACCATCGCAAGACTAAGGTCTTGTGATGGTTGTAAAGTGTATGGCCACCTTTACAGTCCTCTCTGCTCCTCCCAAAACCTCCTGCTCCCTCGTCAACTCTTTATGCTCGTCTCCAAGACTTCTCTAGAGTCTCTCCCATTCTTTGGAACTCCTTACCCCAACCTGTCCGTCTATCTCCTACTCGGACTGCCTTTAGGCGATCACCAGAGACGCCTCTCTTCAGGGAAGCCTATCCCACCTCAAACAAATCACTGAACTATCTTTCTCAAACAGTTTATCCCCACACAGCTACCTCCTCATGTATCACTTAGACCTATCACCTCTTAGATGATGAGCTCTCACGGGCAGAGGCCCTCTTTACAACTCTGTCTTGAATTGTAAATGTAATGTCTTTCCTATATTGTAAAGCGCTGCGCAAACTGTTAGTGCTTTATAAATCTTGTATAATAGTAAAAATAATATTTTTCTCTTTGTTGGTTTGGAATTCATGGGTATAGAATGCTCATTCCTATTTGAACCAGCTAGTTTGTCAAACCATTATTTGTAAATTCCATGTCCATGATTTGGCACTGCATTGTTCTGTTACCAGTCTTCTGTTCTTTCATGCATATGTTTTTCATACTATCATCATGTGTTCCTACATCCTTTACCTCTTTCAGTCCTCTCTATTCCTCTCCCATTTCCTGCTCTTTTCTTTCTGTGCTGTATATGCCATAACATTTTTTTCTTTTATATATCTTTGCAGAATGCAGAAGTCTCAGTCTTTGAAGTCAATATCCGTTTCGTAGGCGGTTTGTTATCTGCATATTATCTTTCAGGGGAAGAGGTAAGGATTGTCTTCTAATTATTGCTGTTTTGTATGAGCATAGATATATGTTGAGAAGGCATATCTGCCCATGTGCTGCTAGTGAGGCTGCAATAAAAGTTACCTGTCTGTAACAGTAATCTGGTCACATGCTTTACAGGCAATAAATGGGACATTCGAGAAATACAGGGAAAATAGGCATCAAGCGAACCGGTACTTTGCCCTGAGTGGGTGTTTACTGGACGTTTCAGTGAGCCTGAGCGTGCAAAGCAAAGACTAATCTTAAACCAAATCATGTATGCACTTGTGTGGAAGAAATAAGAGAAGGAATGTCAATACTCGAACAAAACTATTGCACTCTGTCTTTGGATATTATTCACAATGATTTGAAACCCTATCATTTTGTAACGTGTTTATTTGCCCTTTTTGGTTGGGTAGGTTCTTAAGTAAATGGGCATTTTGCTGTTGTCTTGGTTCATATTTTCTGAGTTGTATCATACTCAGGAAACGGAGTGGCCACTCAATGGTTCTATTTTATTATAATACTAATAATTTCTCCCACATGCTCATCTTTCTGTGCCCTTGCATGCGAACAAGACCATTTTAATATAGGCCAATAGGGGGGTTTTACCTCGCACCAGGTTTATAATAGTTTTAAACCAGCTTCCTGGAATCCAAAGTAATCAGGGGACATTTTGAGCAGTGCCTTCTCCTTTTTGCTTATTATGTCTTTAGGTAAACACTTGAAAATGTAATGCAAGCACACAAACTTTAAGAGAGACAAATCTCTAAGATTCTGGGATTTAACCATTTTGCTGCCAGAGCCATTTTTGCATTTTCTGCACACATATTAAAATGCACATTTTGGGCCTGAGGAGTATTTAAACCCATCAGGATGATATATTTTCTGTAAGCAGAGACCCTGTAGAAGAAAATGGAGGCAATTGCAATTTTTTCATCAAAATATTCATGATCGTTTAGGTGCACTTTATTTGTTAAATCTCTTTTCCCTTTTAATCTTCCAGGACAGCACAGGGGAGAGGTTATCCACCCACCTAAAACAGGAAACACATTGATCTGCAATTAAAATAAAAGGGGTGGTCACTCCTAGCCACATCAGTTGTGCTTCTTCCAGCCTAACAGGAACATCAAAACTTTGTATTTTCCCATAGGCCTTCATGTTAGTTGCAGGGACCACCCAGTATATGCTCCCCAATTATTTCTGGGGAATGGACCTGGAGGGGTTGAATGCCTGGGCAGTCCTGGTCTCCTTATGAGACCATCTCCCACCTGAGTGTGGGCTAGGTAGACCTCCTCCAGACTTGATTTATGTGACTCACATTTGCCTCTATTCCAGCTAAGACCTTTGGTTATGTCCAGGTCTAGGAGCTGAAGCTGTACCGCTTGATGGTTAACAGTGCCTTTTATAAACCACAGTTAGAGTGTTTGACCTTGGCCTACTATAACCTGGAACCTCCAAATTTCCTTTACTGGATGGCTATATTACAGATTAGTAACCAGTGACTAGGTTATACCTATGTTATGTGATGATTCTAATTGTCGGCTGGATAGTGTAGGACTTGCCTGATTACACATTATTTGTTTGGTCTCTTAGAGAAAAATCACACTGCAAAAAATATTTTGTGGTATTCATCTATGTATTAAATACATGACAGTGGAGTTAGTTCATTTATGCATGTATTTATCTATATTCATGTTGCATGGTATGCTCATGAACAGGCACATTATGCGGCAGCAGGACCTCTAAATGCTGAGGTTCAACTTTGTTATATCTATGCTGTGGAGTAGACCCCCATTAAAAATTCACAATCTGTGAGTCTGTATATGGGATATTTCTTATTGCTTGGTGGAGCTTTTTCTTCTATGACTACACCTTAACACTGACTCTGTGCATTCTGCAATATGGTTGAACCCTATGTATTTATTTACACACACACCATTGGGGTAATTTTAGATTTTCTATGTACAGTATTATTTTGATTGCATTTTACATGACATAGATGGCTCAGAAGTATTGACTTCTAAATGCTTAGGCAGCAAAGAAGTCTCCTTACATTTGGACACTACTAGATGCATTTCCTATGCCTGAAACCACTAGGGTAATAGGACACAATGCCTTTTACCTAGAAACTGTCAATTAAATCCTCTTAGTAAAGCATAAAACTCTTGAAGTAACGTACAAGTTGTGACCGTCATATGTTGTTGTATTTTTGGTTGCTATAATGGAGGTCTTATGCATGCAATTCAAGTTAAGAGCGCAGTATGTGAAGTCATATAGGTTACAACTCGAGGCCTTTTTGTTGTCTTGTCAATGTTTGTGGTTTTTTTTATTTATTTATTTTTATTTCTAGTGCTTCTGCCCTAAATCACAATATATATCTTGCATGACTTGTTATATAAGTGGGGTAAGAGCTTGTTCACACTGCAATCCTTGCATTCATTGTGGTTTCTGCATGAGCATTTGCATGCTTTGGTAATGTGTTTGTAAGGCACTGCAGTGTGTTTTTTTTACCAGATTTTATTTTGGACACTGGTGTGTACTTGGGAAATCAGAAACAATTGGTTTAACTGTGCAAGCTTCTGGTGTGAACAAGCCCTGATGGTCAAGGTTGCTGCACACTAATGTGTGGCGTTATGTTCAATAGTTATGTTCAACACGTTATTTTTTTACTGCTATAGGCACAGTATTCTGAAGTAGTGACCTGGAAACTTTAACTCAGATCAGCTCCTCATTGCTCCACATAGTGCTGGAGTGGAGTCAGACCTTAAACATTGGGAAGAACTTCTGATATTTGTATTGATATGGTGCTTTTAGGTGCACATATGGGGAGGGAAGTTGGGGTGAGGCTTAGGTATGCAAAGTAGTTATAAAGCTGCTATTCCTCGCTCTGTTCCCACTTTTTTTCTTTAGTGGGAGGTAGACATTTCCTGCCATTGCATCTATCTGAAAGAGGCACACAGTTTATACCCCCAATTGGTTCCTACTGCCACCTACAGTGATCTGGTCATCTCGGGCCATTAACCTCTCCTGCTTAAGCAGTTGGTTGTGGGTAAACCAAGGTTTTACCTGGTGTGTTCTGTTAATTTTTTTCCTGTTAAAAAGTAGAATGTGTTGGATCCCAAGCTCAAGAGGAGCAATCCCACATCATTGGATTTGCACCAGCTCACAATCTACCAACTGTTTCCAGGTTGCATTCAGCGTCCCTCCTAAGGGACTTGACACTTATAACCTGCATCATTGCCCCCTGCTTCAGTCCTATTCCTCCTCAGTCTTCCATAGGTCTGTCAGGTGTGGCCCCCTCCTTTGCATTGAGCAGGGAGAAGAATTCAGCAGCTATGCTAGAATTTATGGACCAATTGCAACTTTGTTTACTGGCTAAGTACAGAGGTTGTAAGCCTAGTTCTACATCTTTACCTCCAGAATCCTTTTCTGGCTTTTCTTGAAGCTGTAACAGCTTCCGTGCTGTTCGCTGCAGATGTACTGTCTGAAGAAGGGGCTTACAGGTCCTTGTTAGTTGAGTTTGATCTTGAGGAGCCTCAGCTGAAATAGCTCCCAAGCTAAAATATATCACATTGGCTCGTATTGATGCCGTGGGAGGTGCATTTAAAATGGAACAGCCTATACTTCAAAGGACTCAAGACTATCAAAACCTTTCCGGTACACTCCTTTCTTCAACCTGTTCTGTGCAGAGACTGGACTTCTCCTGACAAGTTATTTACTCTGCCTAAATGCTTTTCAGACCAATATCCCCTTTTTTGATTTTCTTAAGAAGTGGGCTGTCCCTTCTGTGGATCTGGGAATATAATGTTTTACCAGAATCAGCCATAAAATAAAAGGCATTTTGTCAATCGACAAGGGGTAGATGAGTGGTGAATAAAATTACATAGGGCTGCAACAACTAATCGACTAAATCGATTATAATCGATTATTGAAAAAGTTGTCAACCATTAGTTTGTCCTGTTCACGGCTCCAGACACGTTGTGGGCCGCACCTCCTCCCCACCAAACGCTCGCCGCAGCCAGACTCGCCTGCCCGCATCCATGCCACACACCTCCTTCCCGCCTCACGCTCAATGCCCGCCCACATCCACGATCAGCACGGGGAAGCGGGGAGAAAAAGTAAGGAGGAGCAGGTGTGGGTGGATGACAGCCATCGATGGATGGGCCTGATCTCAGAAGCAAGTTGCTGGAAGACTGCTCGGGTAAGCCTGCACTTTCCCACACATGGTGCTCTATAATGTATTGCTGGGATTTGTATTCCTCTATAGCTGATGGTACATTGTGCTGTATATTATACAGCACAATGTACCATCAGCTATAGAAGAATACAAATCCCAGCAATCCATTATACACTGTATGTATAATGGATTGCTGGGATTTGTTGTATTCCTATATAGCTGGTGGTATTCTGCATTGCGCTGTTTAGAGGACTACAAATCCCAGCAATAATACATTATACAGCGCAATGCAGAATACCAGCTATAGAGGAGTACAACAAATCTCAGCAATAGTAAATCTTTCAGTGCAATGCAGAATACCAGTGCAGTGCAGAATAGAGTACAACAAATTCCAGCAATAATACATTATACAGTGGTGCAATGCCGAATACCACTAGTTATAGAGGACTACAAAACCCAGCAATAGTACATTATACAGCGCAATGCAGAATACCACCAGCTATAGAGGACTACAAATCCCAGCAATAGCACATTATAGTATAATGTACTATTGCTGCAATTTGTTTTATTCCTCTACAGCTGCTGGTATTCTGCATTGCGCCGCTGTATAATGTACTATATTGCACACTTTTTTTTTTACTTCCACCGCTCCAAGCTTACTCCCGTGATGGACTACAATCTCAATACAAACTAGTAGTCCATCACTGGAGCCTTTTTTTAAAATCCGATTTAATCGAACTTAATAATCGGCTAACTAATCAATTTTTAAAATAATCGTTAGCCGCAGCCCTACTTTGATGTATGTATTGTGTCCAATCCGAT